CAAAATGTCTTTTCAGCGAAAATTAATTCCAGGGAAAATAAAGTATTTTACAGTACTTAACTTTGAAAGTGCGCGACTTTTCTATTAGACATTATTCTAGGTAGAATTTGTTAATTTAATTAGAGCGTCGCATATCTAGTTCACACGTAACATTTAACAAAATAGGCCTTATTTCTTAATGACTGACGAGATCTTACAAAGTGCGAGAAATCGCGTGAACTTCCGCTTGGAGGCAAGTAAAGAAGCCATTTTGTGTCTGGGAGCGTTAGCATACATACGTACGTAATGCATTCGAATTTATATTATGGGAAAAAGCGATCACTGTAGTATTTATGGTTGTCCCAGCAGACGGGGAAGAGTAGAAAGCTGCCTGCGGAAGTACTATTCCGTAAAGCGCAAAGACCTATGGGAAGAAGATTGATACAGCGCCTGTAAAATACATTTTTTATTTTACATGAAATTCGAACGCGCCAGTATAATTTGTACATTAGATCATGGTTTTGAACAATCGATGAAACAGTTATCCCATGCCTCTGATCATAAGGCTTTATTCCTTAATTAGTAGTCACCATTACCGACATGGTATGTTAGCGGCAGCATATTGCTACCGACCACATCGACAAGAATGACGCCATACAATTGTGCGCATGCGCACAACAAGCCATTTCAACTTTCGGCAGGCAATGCTACGTCAGCGGCGGATCGGTAGACCGAATTAAATCTGATTACTCTGTCAATATTGACAGTAAATTGTTCAACTTTTTCAGTACTTAGATAGCTTAGCTCTTTTGTCTAATACCTCTGACAAAACTGTCTTGATAAACTTGCAGATTATTAAATTTCACAGTAAACATAAAGACAACCTTAGAAACATTAAAAAAATACTTGAATTAGGAAGTAGAAACCCCCTCAAAATACTAGAAGATAGAATTTGCTAGAAATGTAATAAAACAAAAGAGATGATGAAATATTAAAGAAACAATTTACAAAATGAGGTTGGAAGTTATTGGGCAAACTTTACATCTATATTACCGGATTTGTTGTTCCAGTTTATTGTTATGTTTACCATTATACTGTCCCCCACAGATGTCCCAGTTGATTACAATAAGTATGTTATAAAGTTCAGCTCGATAACCTTACGAAAAGACTTGCGTTCTCTTGTTACGTCATTGTCAACAAGTGACTGTCATAGTCCATCACTGGAGACTTCAAGTCAATCGTACTTGGCCAAGAAGACGCATCGTTGGTCTGAAAAAAAAAAAACTTCATGTTCATACAGCAGGTCTGATGTGTCCTGGCACTACCGACCATCTCATTTGCTTATGTACAAGTGAACTTATTTCTTCACTGCACGTACACTTGGTGACCAAGATGTAATCGGCGCAAACACTTTTGCTTTTAGCGTCTATATTTATAACATGGTTGACTTTAAGAATAATTCGTTTTCGTAGATTAGGGAAGCATCTGGTTGCTCATCTCAACATTAGGAGAAATATAAGTACGTGAACCCTCCTGTTACTGCAGATTTTCTTTCTGTCTAGCACTATCAAACCCGAACATACCACGTGGATGTTTCCTTGCGTAATTCTGTTTCTAGACTTGTTGTCTACAGGCCCGTAGTTTGGGGGGAGGGGGTTTCGGGGGGTTCGTTCGAACCCCCTAAATTTTGGAAGTGAATAGCTTTATGATCCGTAGAACAGAACATAATAAAACAAACAGTATTAATTAAAATAATTATCATTGTTTAAATAACTTGACTCCGTGAGGTAACTATCAGAGTAATGTACTGAGTAATGCATAGTAATGAGCATTTAGGGGGCAACGAGCTTTAAATGTCAATCGTGAAGTTATGCCGTCTCAGCTCAACAGCAGCCAACCCAAACAGGTTATAAATAGGCAAGCTTTTATTCTGTTTTTCCGCGATGGTGTAATGAAGATCGTGTTCAAGCAACGGATGTTAAATATTAAAACAACATTGAAACAATAATGTAATGATAGTCACTCTCTGAATGATGGGGTGGTCCTGAATATGGCAGTTTATCTTGTGCTAATGTTCGCTCAGTTAGTAAAGTGTGGGGATCGAACGGGATTGACACGACAACACCACTCTGTACTTTCCTAGTTTGGTTCATTAGTTTTGTATTCTTCAAGTTAATGATGGCATATATACTGTTTTGTTCCAAGTGTATCAGCCAAATGTAGTCAACTTATTGTATTAGTATGTGTAGCCTGTGTTATTGGCAATAGTGTACAGCTATGGGTTGAACATATCATTAAAAAAATGCCGAAGATTTATCATCACGAGTTGTATAGGTCGAAGAGTTTCTTGCAGCTATCAGGGGGAAATTCTTCGGCCTCGGGGTTCTCCACACGTGCCAGGGGGGAATATCGTCTCGTCTCTCTATCGCGTCCCCTTGAGGTACGGGATCGGGAACGTCACTTAAACTTTACAGTCAAATAAGACACGCACAACGAAATACGTTTCAGCTTCGTCTTAGTC